TCATCAATAAAGCACAGTAATATTTTGCATTGATGGTTGAACCCTGTTGGAGGTAGTCCACCAGCAGAACTCCCTTCTTATCCCAAAAAACAGTTGCCATTTGCTTCTGCACTGACCTTTGCACAGGGGAATTTCTTTGGCCTGGGGGAACCACTGTGCCTCCATTCCTTAGACTGTTCCTTTGTCTCAGGATTATAACAGTAGATCCATGGCTCATCACCACTTACCAGTTCTCCCAGGCAATCTGACACATTTCTTGCAAAATGTTCCAAAACAGCCACCGATGACTCCACACGTTTTCTCTTTTGTTCAGTTGTCAAAAGTCTGGGGATCCACTTTGCTGCCAGTTTTATCATTTCCAAGTCATTGTGGATAATGGCACCAACTCTCTCATGTGATATTCTCAGATATATAGCAATACTTTTGGCTGATATTCGGCCATGATCATATCATGGATGGCTTTCACATTTGCAGGCACAGAGGAAGAAACAGGCCTTCCACTGGGTTTCTCACTTTCAACACTGAAATGGCCAGTTTAAAAACTGACAACCCAAGGTTTAACTGTTGCATAGGAAGGGCCAGTATCACCCATATTTTGTGACATTTCATCATGGATCTGCTTTGCACCTTTCTCTTGGAGAAACAGGAACTTGATCATGGTCCTATGCTCTTCCACATTGAACTTTTCTGGAGGTGCTGCCATGTTCACTTTGGACCCAAACATGAAAGATAAGTTAAAAACATGGGTAGTTGATTTTGGCATCATTGAATACAGACAAATTGGCCAATACACCCTGTAATTTATAGCTTCCTAGCTCAATTTTTTTCTGGGAAAGGCTCAATATTTATCAGCATCCCCTAGAGGACATGTGTTGTGAGTACATTTGTTCCTAATCTGCTGTAAAAACTTTTGCTGCATATTAGGGCAAATGTATAGTTTAGGCCATGGAGCAATGAGCATGAAAGATAAATAAGTGGGTGCTAGATCAAATCAAACCTGAACTTTTGCTGGAAGCTAAAATGATTAAATTGAGGCTATTGAGTATAAATTATGATCGTCCTTATACTGAAATACTTTGTCTTCTTCTTTGCATTCTCCTGCATGTAATAACAGTAAAAGCCTTCAGAGAAAAACCGCAGAAGGGCCTGCATAGATTTAAATGCTTCTTAATGGAAAACTTGCACTCATAAGTGGCACTCATTGGATATGACAGAAGATCCCACTTTGAATCTGACAGTTTGACAGAAAGTAATTACAGGAAAATGGAACTAATTGTTCACTTAAAATCCAAATAATATCATGGCTTTCAAACAGGCCCTTTGGTAACAGTGCCCAGAAATAATCTTGGTTTATATATCCTCTGTAATTTACCTCTGTTCTAACAACAGCAGCGCATCAGAGAACAATGCTTTCAAAGGGCATGAACTTTTCCCACACAGGTAAAACACGTAAAAACTCAATAATATGCTACTTATCTTCTCTTCCCTCCCTCACAGCACCATCCCACTTCGGTTTTATAGAAAAGTGTACTCTTAGAGGCTGGGCATCTGTGTACTGTACAGTTCATGCAGAGAAGATGGTTCTAGAGATGGAGAAATTTTGCTTTTCTTTGGGCTACAGTTTCCTGAATCCCACAGTCAGACTGGCTGTGGCATTCTGGGAGTCAGAAAAGCAACATTATCTGCATCTGGATTATACGAACAGTGCTTGTCTTTACGGGTGTGTGTTCAGAATTATTCCTTTAGGCTGCAATGCTAAATAAAGTTTAGGAAAAGTAAATATCATTAAATTGTGTGGGACATGCTTCTAAGTACATGAAAAAATTGCATTGTTGGAGGCACATAGCTATAGATAGCATTGCTGTGGGATTAGTCATCCATGCAGATGTTTCAGAAAAAGGTACAGGGGAAATTTTAAAAAACCTTCTTTTTCCAAATCATACATTCAGTCTGGAACATCTTTACCAGATTTCAAAATAGTACCACAGAGGCAAACACTGAATTTAAATTCTATTCATTTTTGTGGGTCTAGCTTCAGCTCTGCTTCAAAGCAAGCAAGCTGGGGAAAGTGATCAATCAGGTGTTTGTTTATGCAAAAAGACAATCCAGTGAATAATATTATTTTAAAAAAAAAAGGGTGGTGCCAGTGTTGTTCCATTAGGGCATCTAAAAAGGAAAAGAAAAGAAAAGAAAAAGAAGTAAACAATAAGAAAGGGAAATAGGAGAAAAATGGCATCTGCCCTTGTATATTAAGCTTATGAAGTGGCTTTTTTGCGGCTGTGCCCCATGCTGGGCTACAAGATAGCTATGTTAACAAGCTGCAAACAAGCGGCAAACAAGGCTTTCCACCTCTCTCCCTCTGTGGCCAGTTAATTTGAATAGACCTGGAGAAACCAAACTCCCTGGTGTTACGTTATGGCAAGTAAACTCACATTTCTCTCATTGTGTGGTCACACCCTTAATTGGAAAAAAAAGACCAATATTTGTAATGAATATTCATTAAATGTACTGCTTCATAAGAATCAATCCTAATCCATACTTTTTGGAGATAGCTGCACTCACTTCTCTGTTAGTTATAACTAGAAATGAGAGATATATTTATAGAAATGACTGCAACTGTCTCTGTCAAAATGACCAGTTGACACTATGCAACTATGTACATGATTATATAGAAAGCATAAGTACCACTACAACATTGTCTGTGTTTGATCTTCAAGTGCTGATGTTATTCAAACTGAAAAATAAGTATCTAGATCAGTAAAAGCTGCAGTACAATACAGGAAAGTTTTTTTTTTTGGGGGGGGGAATGCGACTCCTAGCTTTTTCCAAGCCAGCATAGTTGGTGACAACATTGACTAGATGATTTTGGGAGCCGTACTTCAAAAATGTAACTTTGCTAAGCTATTAGCTGGCTTAGCTAAATGGAGCCTGACTAGCGGATACTGGGAACAAGCAGTAACAGTGTGATATTATATTCATGTCCTTGTAAATTTCTCTGAAACTGTCTCCAGGTGGGAATAGAATGTAGAGCTAGGTTCGTATTTTTGATATATTTACTTAATAGTAACATTTTCCCTTCTTTCCCGGCAGACTGCTAGAATTGTCATCAATAGTCCCCATCAACGCAAACTGGGGAATCATTTCTAAGTGTCTGGCCTACAGCAAAGCAGTTTCAGATCCTTTTGTGTACTCTTTGCTACGGCACCAGTACAAGAAGACATGGAAGGACATCATAAACAAGATGTTAAAAAGAAGCTCAATAAATTCATCAGCCCTCACCAGTGAATCGCAAAGTCGAAACATTTTGCAAGCAAATGAATGAAGGTCAAACAATTAATTCATTATAGCCTAACACTGGTGGGCAGAAGAGGAAGGACCATACATGGTGGTGCCCTTAGGATTATCAGCTGACAGTCTTTTGGAAAGTCTGCCTTTCAAATCTTCAGAAACTTAGGTAAAGAATTTCATAGCAAAGTTGGCTGCCTTTTATTACTGATATATGAATTCATTGGCAACAGATCCTGCCAGCTTCAGGAGATATGCTGAAAAGGCAAAATTGTGTCCTTAACCAATGGTGGTCTGATATGATAATGGTAAAGAACTGTACTTAGGTATTCTTCCCTCTCGCCAACCACAGAAAGCCCACTGGGGAATCTTGGGAGCTTTGTGACAGTTTTGATGTGTGACAGCATTTAACGCCTGCCAACACACAATCACGGCAATTATACGGACAGTTAAAGACGACCACTCCTTCCTGTTTCTTCATGGGATTGCCCCTCTTTGGGACTACCTAATTACATATACATCTGTTAGATGAGAATCTTCATGTTTCATCAACACATTTCAGCTCTGTGCTGCTTTCTCTGTGTGCAAGTATACACAAAGAAGCTACTGTGGTTTTGTAGTGCCATGTTCTGTTTACATTTGGCAAGTGATGGCCTTGCCCCAGAGAAACTGAGGAGTAATTGCTTTCACACATCAAAGGGGACACACCCCGGTGGCTCTAATGTCAAGTATAAAGTGCATTGCTTCTGTGTTTCTAGTTTCTAAATATATTGGCTTTTCTGACCCACTGTCCCAGTGGGTCTGGGATGGCAGGAACTGCCACTGGATTAGAGATAATATATTTCACAGTCTGTATGTGTGTGTTAGGGGAAAGGTTCTTTGGATAAAAATGTTTCTGATCTCTCTCAACTGTGTGCCAGTACATTTCCAAAAAAACAAAACAAAAAAAAACAAAACTGAAAATGCATTGTGTTTTCCCCTAATTGTTTCCATGTTGCAATGATCTTCTGACTGTGGAAATGCCTAAAGTATTGTTGCATTAAAATGTCAGTGTCTGATGTCTGCAGTGTTCTGGCTTGGGTAGGCTGCTGGCAGTCTAGAATGTAATAACAATACAATAGTTAATGTTATTTTCTATGTGATCATGAAGCCATGATTGGTTGCTTCAAGATGTATGTTCAAAATGGTTGTATATGACTCCTTAATCAGAGCTCTGAACTGGGTAAAATTCTTTGCACAGATGGTGTAAAGATAATGTTAGCTAAGTATATTTCTAAATTAAGAAAATAAGATTGAAAATTTTATTTCTTATATTAAAAATTAACATTTAGGAGTAGAAAGTACATTCAAATAGTTATTAAAAATCCCCTTTTAAACATCCTTCAGATTTTGTTTCCAGTGGCCAGAGGGCTTTTCTTTTAAAAAGAAAAGGAAAAGACAAGAATTACTGGAAGTATTCTACTAAAACTTAACAATAATTGGGTGTTCATGAAGTTGATTCCATATTATGGCAGTTGATTTCCAATGTTTACTAGGTAGAATATACTCAGAAGTGGTACACTTTCATTTTTTCTGGAGACATCCTGGGACTGTGCAGCTTACCCAAGGCCACCCAGGCTGGCTCTCCTCCCAAGAGACACATTGGGGTGTCAAACTCTTACCCTGTGGCTCCCAGCCAGATACCTAAACTACTGAGCTATCCAACCTACCTACTAAAAGTCACTTTCTATTAAAAAAAAAAAACCAAAGATAAAGAAATGCAAATGAAAGGATATAATCTAGAATATATTATATATTGTCTTTCCTCTCCTACAAACTCTGCATGGAGAAATCTCATTACCTGTTTTTTGTTTTCTACTGCCAGATTTCCTGTAAACAGTTTGTATGTGTGTTCATTGGTGTTCATGAAGGAGGGCACTGGCTCCGTCCCATATATTAAGAAATTTCCATAAAACAATGAAGAAAAATGCCACACTTAGAAAAGCATAGTGATTCTGTTACTATGCTGTACAGTTCGGTATAAAAGACGTGAATGAAATTCATCCTACAAAATGTTATAGGGTATGTACAGGCTATTTCTTACTCGAAAAAGATTCAATTTCACTTCTATGTCTCCTAGTAAATTCTTAAGCATTAATGTATATAATGGGACTATATAAGCCTAATAGAGTATTTTCTTTACAATGACCTTTGGGAAGGGAAGGAGTTTCTTTTTTTCTTTTTCTTTTTTTTAAGGATTAGAGTTGGGAACAAATGGCTCCTCAAAAATGGGAGACAGGTCCATTTCTAGGGAGAAATTTTCCAAAATGTTCACAGGGCTCAGTGTTAGTAGCAGCAGTAGCACAAGTTCCTTCATTTTTCCTCAAAGGGTGTGGAGGCATCCTTGCTGCTGCTAGAAGGGGAAGTAGCAACTCTGTTGGTGTCTGGGCCATTACCATGCATCTTCCACAGTGCTCCAGACCTAGCATCCACAGTGTTGAGTTGGAAGGGGCCCATAGCACTGCATAAAGGTAGGATGTAAATAGTAGTGAACACCCATGCACAAAACAGAGGAGAATATTCACAGGCAATTTCCAAACTGCCTTGTTTTTCTAGGGTGGTGAAACACCAAGTTTTGTCAGTTCTCTTCTCCTGAGAATTGTTAGAGGCTCACTGCTTAGAATCATACAGAAAGATTTTGTGCTCTGAAGTTGTAACTGGGTAAGAGGCTTTGTATGTTTTTTTTTTCACTGCTGTTATGTTGTGTGCATTCACAGACACACAAACAGAGGGCAGCTTTTTGAGGCATCTCAGTCATGAATATGAGGGACTGCTCCCGCCTCCCCAAACAAACTCTCCAGCAGCTCACCTCTGATCTGCCTATTGTGGTCTTTCTCAAGGGCCCCTTTTTTGTTGGGTCATAGCACCTGCAAATATCAGCCCTCGCAGAAGCTTTGCGTACCTGGATTGCCCTGTTTATCATCGAAAGATGTCCACCCTCCTCGGAAATGAACAGAGCCTTTCAAGGTTATGAGCACTGCTGCGAATTGGAGGGCTTTCTGTGCAGATGACCACTTTCAAACATATAATCCACCAACTCAGCTCAAAGATGAATTTGTATTTTAGCCGGGCATGGAAACATGTTTGATTTTAGCAGAAGGCTGTAACAAAAACAGTGACTTTATTAAAGAGTAGTACTGAGTGCATTTGTGATGGGGATGGCCGCTAATTTCAAAGTAGCAAAGATGAAAATTGGATTCAGTTCTACTTGTAGCATGACCACTGATAACACTCCATGTAGTCATAAATAACTTTAGTTCAATTGTTTTTGGTTTACGTTCTTCAGGCATCCCCAATCAGAGAGCGGGGGGAGGTCTTCAAAACACTGGGGAACAACACATTGGGACAATGACCATTCAGGCTGAGGATAACAGGATATGTAGTCCTCTGGATGGCATTAGCCTACTAGAGTAACTGTTCTCCTTTAGGTATAACTAGAGTAAGATCCCACCCAGTGTTCCCTTGCAAGCAGCTAAGTTCTTAATATAAAAGTAATTCTGGTTCCATCCTCTTTTGCACACCATCTTTTGCTTTAATATGAATCATGGTTACACTTAACAGATGGCTTTACTGTATATATAATTAAATAGTTGTAGATATAGGACCCCAGGACTAGCTTCCACTGATTCATACCTTCACTGATCAATTAGATTCTGCAACTTATTAGTAACTTCATTTCAAGGCAGTAAAAGCTAATTTATATGTGAAATTCCCCATGTGCCTGGCAACTGCTGGTGTTTGCTTTATGGCCTTTTATAGAAGACGTAAAGGGAAAAAGTCCAAGGGCAGCATTCTATCTATCTATCTATCTATCTATCTAGCTATCTA